CTGCACACACCCCTACATATCCATACATGTACCTATACTTGCTGTTATCCCTACACACAGATACACATCTACCCACAGATACACACCTACACACCAACACACCTGCACACCTACATACAGATACACCCTACACACACAGACACACATAGACTTGTTTACACTCAGACACTAATATACATATCTGTACATGCACATACATAGCAGTACACATCCATGCTCATTCACACCCACACACGCACACATACACACACACACATACACACACACACACACACACACACACACACACACACACACACACACACACACACACACACACACACACACACACACACACACACAGAAATATACCTATCCCACAACCAGATTTATCAACACACACACCCATACCTATGGCCATACACATGCACATACACACAAATGTGCATAAATACATGCACATATGTAGGTAAACATGCACAAACCCATACACACAGACAGAGGTAAATGTGATAAATGAACACTTGTATTAATTTAAAAAGAGCACACCATTAATAGAAAAGAAAAAAAGAAAACATATTTTCTAAGAAATGGGAATTGTGAAATTTTTATACCGAATTTACATGCTTATAAACCTCACATTATTTCCCCCCAAATAGCGATAAAAGGTAAGGTGTAGATTGTCTTTGGAAGTTGATAAGTGGTCCGTTGTGGAGAAATGAATACGTATTTGTAACTTATCGTTTCAGAGTTAGTATTGCCCTTTGGTGTTGACAACATGTCAGTCTTCATTTTATTATTTACCAGGTGTCTTAGTCAAAAACTTAAGTATTTCTTAGAGCTTTCAGTCATCATTTGTGTAGGTGCCATTGTGGGCCATTTCTTAGATGAAGGAGTTATATATTTTCCATAAAAATTTGTATCTGTAATGTATCTGAGTTAGCTATAAAGTTAAATTTTTTGATAGCTTTATCCTTACCTTTCATATTCACATGTTAAGTAGGTAAATTTTCTCCACCTTTCACCTTCACTGTTCAGGAAAGTCACAAAATCCTCTGAATGATAGTTCAGTTATAGCAGCTGTGTAAAAATGCAGGGGGAGTCATAAGACTAAAGATAGTATAGGTTTATAATATTATTATAATGATTTTAGTTTTTCGTGTGCATGAAAGAGAAATTTGAAGAAAACTTTCTGTTTCTTTACATATGAATTATGTTAGTGAAGTAACAAAGTCCTTCCCCAAAAATATGAAGTAATTAGTGACAGTAGTTGGCACAATTAATACCAACTGATCGCTCAAGTGACAGCCATTAGAATATTCAGACATTGCTCATCACTGGGATGTGACTTGAAATGGGGTGGATTATAAGCTTGTAAACACGGTAAATGGAATAAACTTAGGAAGTAAGTTTTATTTATTGTAAATGTATGCATCATCCACAGAGTACAGTATTGTAGAGTAGGCTGTGTTGAATGTTAGATGTCTCAACCCCAACAGAGATATCAGTCAATTACATAATGGTACCCTTGAGTGTGGCTGAAATACTGTGCTAAAAAACTAATTAGCTGGAAGTGTTTTAATTAATTTGTAATTATACTGTGTAAATGCAGAGAAATTCCAAAAAAAATGTACAGTGAAGTTGTTCTTGCAGAAGTCAGTTTGAAGTATTCCAAAGATTAGTAACTTGGAAGGGAAGTATAATGCTATGTTTTTCACAAATACTGCATTTTTCATATGTATGTATAATAATATACACATATTTATATATGTCTGTCTTTCTGTCTGTATGTCTTTGTCTCTGTCTCTCTTTATCTTTGTCTTGCTCTGTCTCTGTCTCTTTATCTCTCTGTCTCTGTCTCTTTCTGTCTCTCTCTCTCTCTCTTTCTGTCTGCCTCTTTCAGT